GATGAATGAGCCAGTGGTCTTTCTCGGCAATAAGGAGGGCCCTAGTTATACATGTCGAGACAAATTCTAGCCAATCACTGTAGCGAAAGCATAAAATTGGAAAACAGAAGAGGTTTCTCTGTAATTCTTGGAAATAGTTGTCGATTGTGACCGGTGCCTTAACTTAGCCAAAGTAGAAAAATCGGAAAAAATGCCACAGAAGCTTCGTGAGAAGCAATGTTTGTTCTTTTAAGCCTAATGACCCACTATGCTAGTGGAAAGCAACCGTACCTTACTTTTACGAGCCATTGGACAAATAAAAGCAAAGCAGCTTCGAAGTCAGGACTTTCAAAAGTCCATTCGCATGAAGTTTGGAGAGAAATATATTGGTGCCTATGTCGGAGTTGTTGCTTCACAGAAAAGTGCAATTTGAACTCGCATGGCCACTTTGTAAAATGAAGTATGCTGAAAGTTTTTTTTCTGTTGATCAAGAGCGTTTTATTAGCTGTCGTTAAGAATCATTGCTACCCCAATTGCTGGATATCTTGTTGTACAACATGAGTTCCCTATCGCATTCGCTCTATTCGTGGCAGCTGGAATAACTGATATGGTGAGTACTTCAAAGTTTGTAACCGCGTTAGGTAAAGTTTTATTGAGATTCTATTTCAAGCTTGACGGTTTCATTGCGCGGAACGTGCCCGGTCAAAAGTCGCTGCTTGGTTCGGTACTGGATCCGATTGCCGATAAGCTGCTTGTGAGCGTCATGTTTGTTACAATGAGCTACGCAGCTCTCATTCCTTGTACGTAAGTTATCGTTTAGATGATTTTATTAGTGTGAAGTAAGTTAGCTATCAGTTTGCTCTTTGGGTGTACGTCTTGGGTGCCTGGTCTTGTTCAGCAGTGTCACGTAGAGCATCTGTTGAGAGGTAAGCAATAAACGTTTGGATCATCCAAAAACCAGCTTTAGCTGCACACAATCGTCACCTAACTACTGGGAACGAGCTTCTTGAGTGATTCCTTACTACTCGCGTAACCTACTGTGCAGTCCAGCGTACATTTTAAATTTGTTCGCAAAGCTACTTTCGTTCGATAGCATCCGAATCCGTCAAATTCGAATCTTTACTACTGTACTTAACCAGAGATGTATTAGATGGTAAGAAAGTCCTGAGCCGTTTGACACTTTTTTGCTTTACTTTTTTATTCCGCGTACAATGGAATTACTCAACAATATAATCACCATTGTTACTCACTACAGAGTCCCACCTAATGGGCAGGTCTCCCTTCTCCCAGAACTGAGCAGACTGAGAGTCAAAGAAATCGCTGACCGCTCTTTCAACGTCTTCAACTTTGGTGAATTTTTTCTTCGCTAGGAATGAATTTTTCTTCGCCAGGAGTGCCTTAAGGGGGCGAAATAAGTGATAGACAGAGGGGCAATGTCAGG